GACAAAAAAAATGGACCTTTTCCTAGCAAATATTGACATGCCAAAACTAAACCAAGATGAGTTAAATCATCTTAACAGGCCCATATCAAGCATTGAAATAGAAACAGCAATAAGAGACCTCCCATCTAAGAAAAGTCCAGGACCAGATGGTTTTACAGCGGAATTCTACAAGGCCTTCAAAGCAGAGCTCACACCAATGCTCCTCCAACTCTTCAATGAAATTGAAAGTTCACTACCAAACACATTCTATGATGCCATCATAACCCTCATCCCAAAACCAGGCAGGGACTCATCAAAGAAAGAGAACTATAGACACATTTCTTTGATGAACATTGATGCAAAACTTCTCAACAAAATTTTGGTCAATCAGCTTCAACAATCCATCCAAAAAATCATACACCACGATCAAACAAGATTCATTTCAGGGATGCAAAGCTGGTTCAATATACGCAAATCAATATAATTCATCACATCAACAGGAGCAAGGATAAGAACCACATGGTTATCTCAATAGATGCAGAAAAAGTATTTGACAAGATCCAACACCCCTTTATGATGAAAGTCTTGGAAAAATTAAGAATCCATGGAACATTCCTCAATACAACGAAGGCTGTATATGACAAACCTACAGCCAGCATTATACTTAATGGTGAAAAACTAAAGCCATTTCCTCTTAACTCAGGAACAAGACAAGGATATCCACTCTCTCCACTTCTCTTCAATCTAGTATTAGAATGCCTAGCTACATCAATAAGACAAGATGCAAACATAAAGGGGATCCAAATAGGGAAAGAAGAAGTAAAACTCTCCCTCTTTGCAGATGACATGATCTTGTATTTAAAGAATCCCATAGACTCCACTCCCAAATTACTCAAGCTGATTCAAAACTTTGGCAAAGTAGCAAGGTATAAAATTAACCCTCAAAAATCAATGGCTTTTCTGTATGTCAACAATGAGAAAAGTGTGGCTGAAATTAGGAAAGCAACTCCATTCCTAATAGCCCCACAAAAAATAAAATACCTAGGAGTTGAGTTAACCAAAGAAGTGAAGGACCTCTATGATGAAAACTTTAAAAACTTGAAAAAGGAAATCAAAACAGAACTTAGGAAGTGGCAAAAACTCCCATGCTCCTGGATTGGAAAGATCAACATCATGAAAATGACAATACTTCCCAAGGCTATCTACAAATTCAATGCTATACCCATCAAAATTCCAACCTCATTCTTCAAGGAAATAGAAGAGGCAATCCAAAAATTCATATGGAACAATAAAAGACCCGGAATAGCAAAAACGATCCTCAACAGAAAGAACACTGCTGGAGGAATATCAATACCAAATTTCAAACTCTACTATAAAGCCATAGTAATCAAAACAGCTTGGTACTGGCACAAGAACAGACCTCAGGACCAATGGAATAGAATTGAAAACCCAGAAATGAACCTACAGACCTATAGCCATCTAATCTTTGATAAGGGAGCTAAAAAAATACAATGGAAGAAAGACAGCCTCTTCAGTAAATGGTGCTGGTAAAATTGGTTAACTACTTGTAGAAAACTAAAGCTAGATCCTTATATTTTACCCTGTACCAGAATCAACTCCAAATGGATCAAAGACCTCAGAGTCAAAGCAGACACTCCGATAACATTACAAGATGGAATAGGAGAAACCCTATGTCTCCTTGGCACAGGCTGAAATTTTCTTAATAGAGACCCAGAAACACAACAAAACAAAGAAAGGTTGGGCAAATGGGGTTACATGAAGTTGCAGAGCTTCTGCATGGCAAAGGACATAGCTAGTAAGATCAATAGAAAGCCTATGGACTAGGAGAAGATCTTCACTAGCCATACAATGGACAAGGGTCTCATATCTAAAATATACTTGAAACTCAAAAAATTAAATCCCCCAACAACAAATCCTCAAAGAAACAACTGCCCAATAAATAAGTGGGCTAAAGACTTCAAGAGAAACTTTTCTGAAGAGGAAAGAAGGATGGCCAATAGCTATAAAAGAAATGAAAATCTAAACAACATTGAGATACCACCTCACTCCATTTAGAATGGCTAAAATCAAGAACTCTAAAAACAACAGATGCTAGAGGGGATGTGGACAGAAGGGAACCTTACTGCATTGTTGGTGGGAGTGTAAACTTGTTCAACCACTTTGGAAAGTAGTATGGAGGTTCCTCAAAAGACTCCACATAGAGCTCTCCTATGACCCAGCAATCCCACTTTTGGGCATTTACCCAAATGTTTACAAACAAGACCACACTAAAGCTACCAGCACGACTATGTTTATTGTAGCACTATTTATTATAGCTAAGATATGGAACCAACCCAGATGCCCCTCAGTAGATGAATGGATCAAGAAAATGAGGTATATATACACAATGGAATTCTATGCCTCCATCAGAAAGAATGACATTGCCCCATTTGTTAGGAAATGGAAAGACTTGGAAAAAATTATATTAAGTGAAGTAAGCCAGGCCCAAAGGAACATAGGTACCATGGTTTCCCTTATTTGCAATATCTAGTATATGTCTGAGTCAAGCAGAAAAGGTCAGATAAGGTGATGTTAGGGAAATGAACCCTAAGATATGTATTCAAGTGTTTTTTTTCTTTCATGAGATTGTTTCTAACACATTTATAAGATTATTTCTTTGTTGCTTTGTATGTCCCTCCCCCACAGTATAACCCCTGCTTTCACTGTATTTGATGTCGGTATAATTTGTTGGGGGGGGGGGAAGGGGAAAAACAAATTGTTTAAATAGGGATACAGGTGTACCCATTGCAACAATGAGATGTACAAGTCGTTATGTCAAAAACCAACTTTGCAACTTTGGGGCGGGGTGGGGGGGGGATTGGTGGGGGGCTGGGGGGGAGGATGGGAAGGGATGGGAAGAGGAAACAAAGGAGGAGGCTACAATGCTTGATAAGAAATGTACTCATTATCTTGCCCGTGTAATTGTAACCTCTCTGTACACTATTTTCACAATAAAAAATAATAAATAAATAAAATAAGATATATTTGTGAAGAAATACTTGTGAAGATTACAACTCTGAGACATGGCCCCTCTAAAATACTGAGATTTAGTTGAAGGATGATAGAACATTCTCCACATACTTCATAGGGTACCACTAGGACTTTGTTAACAACAGTGGATTATGGTTGAAAGAGCTGCACCCCACATATTGGAGCTTATGTTTCCATATCTATGCCCAACTGAAACCTACTTCAGAGAGAAGGGAACATTTAACCTGGCCCTACACTAATGTCTCCTGGAGCTTCATTTTCTACTGCCTACCTCATCACTTCCTAAATCACAAGCAATGAAATTTTCTAATCCCTTCCCTAAGGTATGATCTGATTCCATGGCCCACACAATTTCACAGTACCCTTCCAGCTGTAGATACCTTAAAGTCTACATCAATAAATCTTAAATACTAACCAGAGATATTACCAATGTTTTACATCAGCAACAGTCATGTCAAAATTGACCTCATCTTAAAAAAATCTTGTCTCGAAAAATTTAAAGATTTTTTTCAACCACATCTCATGAACTGTCACTTCAGTTGGTCAATAGTCAATATAATGACCTCTGATTATTTTCAAGGACTAAAATTATACATACTTTCATATGAATGACTTTATTTCTTTCTACCCTATGGAAAGATTAAGTTCAAATCATTGAGCAAGAAGCTCTAGATACCTAATCTCCTCTGACCTTGACATTCTTAATTTTCCCAAGACTCTATTGCCCCAAAGCCAGCAGAAATCATCTCGCTAGATCCATTATCCTTGTTTATACCGGTGATTATAAGAAATCCAAGCCATTCCTAGTCATATTCCTTTTAATGGCCTCCTGTCTTATACCAGCTCATGGGATCTTTAGGAATACAGTGTGCAGAACTAATCAAAATTGACCTTAAGCTCAATTTCCATCTACTTAAAAGACATAGTGACTTTCCGCTGAAGGTGCTGCTTTACCTCCATTCTCGTCCAGTGGCTATTTTCTCCTTCCATCTTTTGGGACCACCATAAAGGGTCTGTTAGGTCTTCGTCTACCAACAGGCAAATTTCCACTTCCGAGCTTTTGCAAGGGTATTTGCCTTTCCTGGATTCCCAAATGGAATAAGTACTTACACTTACTTCCTCAAATGTTTGTTTGCCTGGATTCTAAATGGAGTAAGTCCCTATGCATACTTCCTCAAATGTTTTCTCTCCAATGAGAACTATAATCACTCTATTTAAACTCCAGGCCACCATCCCACTCACAGCATTCTTAGCTCCCTCATCTGGCTCTACTCTAGTTGTACTTTTTTCCATAGGACCAATCACTTTCTAACATACCATGCCATTTACTTACATATTTTGTGTTTTACTTATTGTTTATCTTTCCCTTACTCCATTTCAAATCCTCCAAAGGCAGAGATTTCTGTGTTTTGTTGACTAAATAAATACATTTTGATTGACAGAATGGATTCTCACTACAATATATAAGGAAAACACAATTACTCCTTTTCTCCAGCAAGATAAAATAGGAGCTTGGAGAATATAAATAAGCCATTAAAGGTTTTGCTACTTGCAATGGTATAACCCAGGCCCAGCCTACTCCTCTTCTAGAACTAACACTGTCTCAAATCCAGTGATGTTTTTCCAAGATAGATAAGAGAAGGGATACCAAGATGGGATAGGAAGTGAAAGAGAAACTAGAAATAAATTCTCTGTGACAAGCTAAGCAATTTGATTACTTTCCATAAAAGAATTATGCATTGAATGATGGAGTAATCAAAATCATAGCTTATATGATGCAAATAGCTGCCATCCTGATCAGTGAAGACAACAAATTCCCAGGGGAGAGAAATATCACACTTAATGCGGTTTTAATTCAGCACTGAGATTTCCAAAACTAAAACTGACATTCTTCCTTCTAATTCATTAGTATGTCAGTGATTACCATAGTCCTCTGGGTAAGGGGGAAAAAACTTGACACCACATGACTATGGAAGTATACTTTTACTTTATTCATAGGTATTAGGTAACAATTAACTAAAGAAGTGAGCTCCTTTCCATTTGCATGAGGTCACAGCTGTCAATCATAGTCAGGAGCAACAAGCTTGAAATCTCCTTAGATGCTAGTTTGATCAGGGAACAGGCCATATTACTTGACACGTCCAAGTGCCATCTGACAAGCCATGAAAACAGTGGCTCAGAATGCAGATAGAAGTTCTCAGATAGGCAATGGCTAGATGATGTCATTTCAGTTGCAAGTATTTTTTGTGTCTGTTATCAAAAGAAACAAATGCATAACCTACACAGTCTGGCTTAGGTCAGCTGTTTATTGGCCCTTAAGACAAAGCCTCATAATCTTGGCTAATTAGTCAAAGAGGATAAAGCATCAAATGAAATCATTACAGGGTACAGGAACTATAAATAATACATATAATAATAGATATGCATTTTCATTACATAATAGTTGCAATTATAAATACTTCTGTAGTTAACGAAAGTACAAATATGTTTTCCATATAAATAATTTTAAATATTAATAAATAGATTTAGACTTAAATTTTTCAAAAGCTGCTGGCAGGATGACCCTTATTTGTATGACTTGCAAGCCCAAAACAACACCGACTCCTTTTTCGCTTCCTTTGGGTAGATCTTGGTAACAGATCAGTCATCAGTCTGGTGAGTTCAGACATCGCTTTGCGTTGGATCTGCACATCATTTACCTAATAGGAAACAAAACAATAAAGTTAACTTTAGATAATGATGATTATCATTGTGAAGATTTAATGGTGTTTGTGGCTTTAAAATAAATAAATAAATAAAATGTAAAAAAAATAATTTTAGGTGTGGAAGCCATCAAGACGAATTTGCCTCACAGTCAGTAAAATTCCCATATAAATAGTCAGTAAAACTGGAAATCGATTTTTTTAATGTGATTCTCAGTAGTAATATATTTACTCAGTATATAATATTTACTTTTTTAGCACTTAAAGCTAAAAGGACAATTAAATTTCAAGTGTGTAATAATAGGGAATAAGGTGCATTAGATCATATGTCTAACTTTACTGCTGCAAAATTCTCAGAATTATATATTGGAAAGGAGCTTTGCAGTGGAATAGGGGAAAAAGAGGTGTGGTTTACTTCTCCATGCAGTGACATTGAACTAATCACTTAACCTCTGCTTCTCATCTAAGCAATGTTGAGATTGGTGAGGAGGCCTGAGTCTAACAGCTGTATCACTTATGGGTTAGTATCTGTAGCAATATCAATGGCTTCTCTAGGCAATGCTCCTCAGCTTTGGCGTGTAGCCGACTAATCTGAAGACCTAGAGATCTTCTAATCTGAAGAACTTAGAGATCCAGATTCGTGAAGGAGAAAGCGCTTGCTGTCATGTGGTCACTAAGTTCCTCAGGTGATTCTGATACTCACCAACACGTGAGAGACACCGATACAGTGAAAACTAGAATTCAATTGTTTTTTCCACATTAGGTCAATCCCATCATTTCCAGAATGGGATTCAAAATAAACTCCAATTATATTCTTATGATAATAATCAATTTACTGATATAGAACATTTACAATTAATAATTACAACACCTTTTTCTATATAATCCTTCTACACCAGCAAATGGCACTAATTACATTTCTTCATTCTAAACAATTGGGGTCATTTACATTTATATTTCTTCTCAGTGATGGAAACACTGTGGCCATGAATGACTAGGGAATTTCTAGGCTGCAGAACTCATTGGTAAAGGGTATAGCATATATAATATATGTTTTCAATTGAGCAAAAGAAGACAATAATCATGAACCAGGAGACTTGTAGGACATAAAAATCAAGATTTTTAAAAAATTGTCTAGGTCTAGTTTGCATGGAGTAAAAAAGTTTCTACCCTGCCTTTGTAATAACTTTTTTTTCATGTTCAAAATATCAACAAGAATCTAAGAGACTTATCCAGGACTGAACAATAAGACAGAGATGACTCTGGGTTAAGAACAAGTGTTTCCTTACTGTCTAGTCTATGACACAAGGAGAATTGTTCCCATCTCTCCTTTTAGACTTAGACCTGAATGAGAGACAGACATGGATATATTGAAAGCTGGCACTAATTCTCAGGGCATAAATCAAGCAAGGACACCTGTTCGTCTCAGTCGAGTCCATTTATATCAAAGTCAAAGGATTTGGAAGCCTTAGTGCTCTAGATAAAATTCTGGAAACAGGATTTGTCTTTATACTTTATATTTTTATCCTTCAGATTCTAGAAGCCATAAATTAATGATTTAAGGAAGCCTAAGGATTCTTGTACGCAAGTATTAACCAAACTCTCCTTTCATAAGATAGAAATTCTACCTTTATTTTTCTCCTCAAAGTAAATTGAGTTGCATAAACTGAGAAAATGAGAGATTGTTAGTGGATACCTCTAGAGTCCTCTCAAAAGCTTTCTTTTCTCTCATTCTCATTTTCTCTGTGTAGCATTGTAGAAATGCTACCGGAGATCACAAAGGAAATGACAAAATGCCCATAGTTAACTCAACAACTTTCTTTCAAGATGAGGAAATTAAGCCCTAGAAAGGCATGTGATTCATCTGAGGTCACAGTTCCTTGTGGCCAATTTAGAAGGTGAACATAGATCTTCTCACCTCCTCCCACTGGTCTTTCCACTAAGACACTCAGCCTCCTGTCCAAAGCAAGACAATTTCCACCACATAAACAAGACTTCATGAGAGCACTGCTTCTCAATAAGCCTCCCTACTGAGTCACCTACTTCCTCCTCACTGGACTTGGCCATCGTGTGTGTGATGGTTTTTAAAGCCTGTGTTCTTCCAACCAATAAATCTAAATGATTGCCATGCAGACCTGACAAGTTCATTCAAGAGCACACATGGAATTATTTCAGGGAGCGTTTTAGCTCGGGGTTCCTTTTACAGCTTCAGCAACCCCTAAGCAAATGATTTCTACTTTCTGGGAACTATGCTCTGACAAATTCCTCTGCAATGAAACCAAAGAAGAATTCATATCGCCTCACCGGAAGTTGAATCACATTTTTGAAGTCATTCAGTTTGTTGGTGCTGCTGTTGAAGAACCTAATGAATAATTCTTCCTTAATGGTGTCCATGCTTTTTTGGATGATCTGGTTGTCCTTTAAGTTGTCAAAGACTTTGAAGTAGAAGGAGATAATTTGGCTCAGAATTACTTTCTTATCACTCTCCTTAGAAGAAAAGAGCACAAAGAGAATACGTGATTTTTTTTTTCATCAGTCAACAAGCCCCAAGAAAAATCAACAAATAGAAAGTCAGCCACATGTTCAGCTTACCTCTTTCCAGTTCTTCCAAATATCTTTGAAAAGAGGCTTTTTATCTGCTACATATGAACCGCTTGCATTCTGAGAAAGGAAGGAAAATTGTTTTATAATGTGTCCATTAAGTGTACATCAATGTCCTACAAATGTACGTCATTACATTGAACTCAGAGGTCTGACAGTAGTCACTGATTTCCTTCTTATCCCTTCTGTTTATCGATAACCATGTATATTGCAATAAGCTTCTTTTCTTTTCTTTTGTCAGTTGTAGGCCTGAACTCTGGGCCTGGGCACTGTCCCTCAGCTCTTCAGCTCAAGGCGAGCGCTCTACCACTTGAACCACAGCGCCACTTCCAGCTTTTTCTGCTTATGCAGTGCTGAGGGATCAAACCCAGGGCCTCATGAATACAAGGACAAGCACTCTACCATTGAGCCACCTAAGCTTTTATGTTAGATTTACCAAAGATTATTACATTTTTCAGTTTAATTATTCATTAACAAAATCCTTAAATTGCATTATCACAAATGAACTCAACAAGGCTCATGGCACTTCAAGTGCCCCAAATAACTATAGCAAGATAAAGAAAATACTTCAAACATAATTTTTAAAAAATTCGGCAAAGCCACCCCACTATAAGATCTATAAGATATTTCCCCCCTATGATACAGATTTCTATAACAGCTCCCTGTATTCTGGTACAGGATTGTGTTATGTCAGCTTCAAATGTAGCTCCAAATATATGTGTATTAAGAGAGATTTGATTTATACTGTGGGAATAAAATTGATTATGAGTGTATGAATATTATTATAATAGTATAATAAGAGCTTAAATTTTGGACAAATAATAACTTATTTTAAATTAAAAAATTTTCATTACCCACAAATAAAAAGCAAAAAAGAAATTCATAAAATAAAAAAGTAAACCCTAAGCTAGAATCCTAACTTACAAAATCTCAGTGAGTGAATGCCTTCAAGAACAATTCACAGGTAGAATTATAAAATCACCTTTTGAGAGTGACTTTTTTTAACCCAAACTTTAAGAACTAAACTTCCTTTGACTTTTCATTGATAAATTATTTCCTACTACTATTTTCAGTGACCTTTTCATTCTTTACTGTCACTTTAATTGTAGTCTGAGAAGCAGAAACTAAAGCAAATCAACTTTTTTCATACCTATACTCCTTGACTAATCACAACTGAATGGATTCTCGCCACAAAATTATCAATATTATTACATTTTATGACTATATTATGCCCATATTTTGAGAGAATGTACTCTAAGTCTCTGTAGAAAATTGGGCAAATGGTTAAGTCAACGAGTACAGTGTTTAGTCAAGAAACATCCTACCTACAACAAACAATATAACACTACCTCTTTTCAAAGTGACCATGTATTGGAGATAGTGGCCTATCAAGATATAAAGCAACATATACTTATTTCTAATCACAAGTCAAATATTATTTTAAAGTCATACTTACAAAATAGTCCTTTAGGCTGTCTATTTCTTTAAAAATTACGTCTTGGTCATAACAGCTTGAAGAATCCAAAACGATGCAGAGCAGCAGCACTAAGGCACAACTTGTGTATTTCATTTTTAGAGGAATCAGGCTGAAGGAGTTAAAATCAGAAGCTCCTATATTGTCAACCAGGTCAAAAGGCCTTTTCTTTTCTAATTGCTGATCTGCTGGTGATCAGAACAATGTACTGCATCTCATTTTGCTGCCGGTATTTATACCCAATTGAAGCTCATAAGGATTACGTATTTTCACAAGTTTTTCAAGATGAGATGGTGATAGATAGTCAGGGATGCTAGTTAGTCTGAATTAATAACTATGGTTTGTGGCATTTTGGTGTTGTAGTTAAAGTTTCCTTTCAATTCCTAAGGCCACTCGATGATGAGACAGACCCATTTTCCCACTTGTACCATTCTTGTGGGATTCTTTGAAAGCACTTTTACTTCACACCTTTCAGGGTCTGGAAATTTTTTTCCTTTTTGCATCTCCCCCCTTTGCTCTTGTAAAATATTGACTCCTCATCCAAAAAGCACACTGATCGTTTGTTTGTGGTTGGGAAGAAGTAAAAAAGGAAATTCTGGGGCCACTAAAACTTTTACAAAGGGGAAGCCTTTTTCAATTTTTCTTGCAAATCACCACAAAGCAAGGAAAGAATATGGCTAAAAACCCAGTGTGGTGAGGAAGTCCTTCATCAGAGTTTAGTAGAATATCTATCACAAGTTTCAAATTGCTTTACATCAACACTGCCCAGTAGAAATATGTTGCAAACCATATAAGTAAATTTAAATTACCTAACATTCCTATTGATAAAAGTAAAAGGAAACACATAAAATAATTTAAACTATTATATTTAAAAGAACATATTCAGAATGCTTTCAATGTGTATCAATACACATTAATAGTGAGATATTTTACATTTGTGTGCCATACTAAATCCTTAAAATCCAGTATGTTTTCTGTACATTCAGCAATTTCACTTCAGACTAGCTATATTTCAAATGTTCAATAGCCATTTGTGACTATTGCACCTAGAGCTCTAGTAAATCAATTGTTTCAAATAATCATTAATGCTAGAGAAAATTTTAACTCTTTCTTTTTTTCTTCTCAGCTGTAAGAACAACCAAATTCCTTCCCTTTGCAATATATTTATAAATAATAAATATTCAGGAGAGCACAGAATTCCCTCTACTCTTCACTTCCAATCCATCTTGCATTTCTACTTGCACTATGTACATTGAAATATGGTGATTAGATGTACAGACTTCAATTCTGGCTCTATTGCTGTTCAGTTCTAAGATCTGGAGGAAGAATCTTAACTCTTCTGTGACTCAGTTTTCTTATTTCTAAACTAGGCTTCACAATAGATCTCCTAACAGTTGAATGTTAAGTCAGGCAATCATTCGAATAGTAGATAAAATGTTGTCTATTGTTATTTGGGCAAGTTGGATGATTCAAATTTTAAAAAAAAAAAATCTCTGGACTTTGTTCATGCAATTCCTTTGTCTCTGAGTTTCCTTTGTCCTCATTTGTATATACCCATCCAGGTACTGCCTAAAATCATTTTCATGAAGTCTCCCAATTTTTTTTCCACTTAAAATTACATTTACATCCTCGTTAGCACTTGGCTCATACTTTATTTATAGAGTCCTACTCCTTTGGTCTCATATTGAGTCAGTTTGTTCATATATTCTTTGCTGTACCCATCTTTAACTAAATTCCCCCAATCAGATATTGTTTCATTGTGTCTATGGCATCCTTTCGTCACTAAATCTGCTTATGGACATCACTGAATAAATATAGATCTGGAAGCTTACTTAAGGATCTGTTTGTTTTTTTGTGGTTTTTTTTGGGGGGGTCCAGTCGTGGGCCTGAACTCTGGGCCTGGGCGCTGTCCCTCAGCTCTTCAGCTCAAGGCTAGTGCTCTACCACTTGAGCCACAGCGCCACTTCCGGCTTTTTTCTTTTTGCTTATGTGGTGCTGAGGAATCGAACCCAGAGCCTCGAGCATGCAAGGCAAGTGCTCTACCACTGAGCCACCTTCCCAGCCCAAGGATCTGTTTTGAGATATTTGCCATCAAGTTCCAATTCTAATGCCATCAGGTCCATCCTATAAGAAACTAGCTTCTAATTAAATAAGATTTGTTGTCAATGTTAGAAACATGATACTATGTGCATTTAGCTGATACCTATGGACTGGGACAATTCTATGCATTATTTTATGTGTAACAAAAAAAAGACTTTTGAGAAATTATTTTCTCAAATAAACAAAATCAAAGCATAGCTATAAGACCAAAGCTCCCATTCAGCAAGTGAAGAGTACAGAAATTACATTGCTGCATGTAAAGCACTAATGCTGTTCTCTCCAAGAAAAATGTGGTCCAAAGAAACAAAGACTTAGCACATCCTTGAGATATGCATTGGCCATCCTTATGTTCTAGGAAACCAATACCAAACTCTGAGTCACTAAAACAAATATCCCAATTTTTCTAGAAAGGATTAAAAATTATCTCTACTTTTTTTGGGGGGGGGTCCGGTCATGGGGCCTGAACTCTGGGCCTGGACGCTGTCCCTCAGCTCTTCAGCTCAAGGCTAGTGCTCTACCACTTGAGCCATAGCGCCACTTCCGGCTTTTTTCTTTTTGCTTATGTGGTGCTGAGGAATCGAACCCAGGGTCTCAGGCATGCAAGGCAAGCACTCTACCACTGAGCCAACTTCCCAGACCCTCTACTTACTTTTTTACTTATCCACTGGAATATGTTGCTGGAAAGAGAAACTTCGTGTAGTAGGATCCATAATAAGGAATGATATGTAGCCTCAACATTCATTAAGAATGCATATTCAAAATTTGGCATACATTAAGACTGTATTTATAATATGGCCAATGGTTAGAGCTGGTTACCATATGGCTAAAATCCAAGCTCTAATAACTCTTGATAGAATGATCAAACACAGAATTGCTGAATGATGAAGATTGTTTATGATCTATTCTTTTACTTTCTGAATTTGTAAATTGACACTAAAAAAGGCAGTGTGCTTACATTCATTTAACTGCTTAAATGTCCTGAAACAAAAGCTAAAATATTTTCCTTAATCAACGTGTCCTCTATCTGACCAGTACCCTTTAAAATTATTGTGTGTGCCTCTACCTTATGTGTTACATAAATGAGTTAAATAATTATGTCGGGCTTTAATTTCTGGAATTTTTGTTCTACTTAAATGCCTTAAAAAATGGTAAGACTCATAGAGAAACCTCTAGACACAACCTAATAAAAATCTAATAAATAATAATAATAAATAAAACCTAATAAAAGCCTAAGAAGAAAAACAAAGAATGACAGAATGTGATGGGTTCTATGGGCCAGATAAGAAAAGACTAACAAAGAGAGTGAATGGTGAAAAAGAACGTGGGCAGAGCAGCTCACTTGAATATACGAAGAGTGAATACTGAAAGCTGCTGAGATTAAGATGTTAAGAAGGGGAGTAAAATAAGAAAAGTGGCTGAGCAGGTGAGATTGATCTGAATTCATTATACACATGTATGGAAATGCCTCAATGAAAACCTTGCACAATCAATGTATGTAATAAAAAAAAGTTAGAAAAAATACATATGGTAAATCTAAAAGTAAAGGCTTTTAAATTTTTGACTGGACATCCCAGAAGTCTCAACTTCAAGGGGCTTATATTTTATTTCATTTTTATATCTTTTCCTGCAAATTATAGGGCTAGGCTTGCATCCCAGACTGAAAATGAGTAGTCTACTATTGTTTTTTTTTTTCCTTTAGATGTGCGATTCTTTCGTTCAGAATGTGGTCTCACTACAATGATATATCCTTTCATGATCTTTTCCTGTCTTGTCACCTTTGCAAAAAAAGAAATTTCATTCTTGGTGTTGCCTGTAAAGCACGTGTGTTATACATGCAAACTAGAGGTTTCGCACCTTGCTCATCTGGCCAATACTAAACCTACACAATAATTCAACACCAAGATATCCTTTCAAAAAGCCAAGGCATAACCGTATTACTAAACCAGGGGGGATTTAAAGCTTTCTTTTTTCTTTGCAGTTCAGTTTTCTTTCTGAAAACTGGCTAAGGTCATGCATTCTGCATCAGCAAGATGTCATGGGTATCTCATGCACTCCCTGGTCTAGATGGAGGAGGTAGTCAGAAGACAAATCTTTTTATTTTTTAGTGTAATTTTTATTATTAATAAGTTTTTTATTGTGAAAATACTGTACAGAGGGGTTACAATTACATGAGCAAGGTAATGAGTACATTTCTTATCAAGCATTGTTGCCTCCTCCTTTGTTTCCCCTTACCATCCTTGCCCTCCTAGAGTTGTAAAGTTCGTTTTTCGATTTGTCTGAGACAAGCAGAAACGGTCAGACAAGTTGATGTTAGGCGAAACGAACCCCAAGATAAGGACTCAAATGGTTTTTCTTTCTTGCTATTGTTTCTAACATATTTATAAGATGATTTCTTTGTTGCTTTGTATGTCCCTCCCCCACAGAAGACAAATCTTACACCTTGGTCTCTCTCTTCCTCTCCATCTGCAGTCAGATCCCTAACACTCACAACCAAACCCTCTCATCCAGACGGCGGTGTAGTTTCCTTCCGCTCACTATGAGTCAATGTTGGATTCATGCCCCCACGCGATATCGACTCCTCAACTCCTGACATCATGCGGGCTGAGTCTACGGAAGAGACGTAATAGAATGGAAGCCCCACAATTTGACTCATAAAATCCCATAGGTGAGAGTTTTCTTTTCTGAATAGATGACTGCTTTCCATTTTTCTTATGGGCCAAATGAGCAACTTTGCCGAGTATTTCAAAGAATATTGTAGACCTGCAGAACAATCCTTAGTTTACAATAGTCTCCGCTTTATGTCAGATAGGAACATTTATTGGTGATCTAGAGATTTGTGGTGGTGTTTTTCGTTGCTGTTTTTGTTTTTCATCAGTCATGGGGCTTGAACTTTAGGGTTTGGGCACTCTCTGAGCTTTTTCACTCAAGGCTAGTGATCTACCACTTGGAGCCAGAGCTCCACTTCTGGTTTTGGAGTGGTTAATTAGGGATAACTTTGCCTTTCTTTCCCCAGTTGGCTTTGAACCAGATCCTCAGATCTCAAGCTCCTGAGTAGCAAGGATTACAGGCATGAGCC